AGCACCTGCCCGCCTGCCTTCCTACCCGGCCTCCCACTTGTCTGTCCATTCCCAGCAGCAAAGGCTGGTGGACCTACTGGCTGGGCTCCCTTGCCCACTTGCTTGCTTACTGCAAGGCCACCTCAGCTCCTGGCAACCAGCACACCAACCAGTCCCAGAGCCACCATTCGACTGGGGAGCTTGTAGCCAGGGTTACTGCAACAAACAGCTGTGCAAGCCTTTAGGAGGCAGAGACACGGCAGGGCGTCAGAGGAGGGAGGGAAGGAAAGAAGGACTGAGGCCAGTGTTGCCCGCAACACCCCGACTATCATTCAAGGCACCCCTGGTTCTTTTCCTGGATTGTAGGAAAAGAAAACTATATACAATCCCAGTGAATATAAATGAAAGAAAATTCATGTACAGTGGTACCTCGGGTTAAGAACTTAATTCGTTCTGGAAGTCTGTTCTTAACCTGAAACTGTTCTTAACCTGAGATACCACTTTAGCTAATGGGGCCTCCCGCTGCCACCGTGCCGCCGCCGTGTGATTTCTGTTCTCATCCTGAAGCAAAGTTCTTAACCCGAGGTACTATTTCTGGGTTAGCGGCGTCTGTAACCTGAAGTGTATGTAACCTGAAGCATCTGTAACCCAAGGTACCACTGTATATAACTTGAGACAAAATGCAGATCTTTAAAATGAATCTGAACAGGCCTCAGGAAGTACTTCTGAATCATTCAGAGTAATACAAGAATTGCATTGTGACTGCCTTGGAAAGTCTTGGAATATCATTACAATGCAAATCATTTCATCTGAAAGACCTCAACAAAGCAGCAGCAATAATAATACAGAGGGTAGAGATCATGAATGCATAACCCTGAATCGGATTTGGAGAAGGTAGGTTTGTGTTTCTAATAAAATTACATCTGTGCTAGGTAAAAGGAAACACGGTTTCTCCTCCTTGGAAGTGGCATTGCACATTCACTTTTGTGCTGTTTTGAGCATCCCATGCAAAGAAGTTGATATGCGAAGAGCAATAACACTGTTGTGCGTCCTTTTTACACTGCTACGAAAAGAATCCTGACAAGAGAAGTGCTTGAGATGGTCATTTACTAGGTATGTGCTCTGCTCATCCACTGAGGACAACTCCCCTCCAAAGTTTGCATAATTATTAGTTTAGAAACGCATATGTAACCATGGGTTGTGAAAGTAATCCAGATTGGTGTTGCAGGTGTGTCAGGCTCCACCCCCCCCATGTGAGTTGCTCCTCTCCTGGAGTATCTGCATTTTAAAAAGAACCATATGTGACAAATACAGTCATACCTCGGGTTAAGAACTTAATTCGTTCCGGAGGTCCGTTCTTAACCTGAAACTGTTCTTAACCTGAGACACCACTTTAGCTAATGGGGCCTCCTCCTGCTGCCGCCGCACCCCCGGAGCCCGATTTCTGTTCTTATCCTGAAGCAAAGTTCTTAACCCGAGGTACTATTTCTGGGTTAGCAGAGTCTGTAACCTGAAGTGTCTATAACCTGAAGCATCTGTAACCTGAGGTATCACTGTATAAGTTTCTGGAGAGTAATCTGAATCAGAAAAATACTCCTGGGGAAAATGTTAACAGTTCTCACCCCTGCCGGCACCATAGCCCCAAACCAAATAGGGAGTAGGGCTGTGGCTGTATTTGCCCTTTGAAAACACCACAGGAGATCTAATCATGGATCTCCCACCACCTCATCTGCTTGCACCCTGAGTAAAGGACTTAATTTCCTTCACTTTAATTTCCTTATTGGTATTTTTGCATAATTCTCAAAAGTGCAATTTTGATTAAGCAATTCATACCAATTACTTTAAGTATATCAATCCACTGTACAGTCTGGGTCAAATCTTCATTTCACAGCATGTGCCATGTCTACACTTGAATATAGGTTTTTTTTAATGTTTTTGAGCATAATATTCATTACCTCCATTAGTCTTTTGCAATGTATTTTGACCTATGACTATGTGTTTCCTTTGCATTCCAGGGAGAGCTAATGAGAACTTTAATTAACATTTCTATTAACTCACCAACTTATACAGGTAAAATGTGGTGACCAAGTTTGCTAAAAGCACCATTTTTCGTTTGCTTACATGACATAAGATCCTCCTAGCCATTCATTTAGCTATGGCAATTCTACATGTATTGATGGAATATATCTGGGGAAGTTAAGAGAAGAAATGTTTAGCTCATTAAAAGTATTCCCCCAAATAGGATGCTCTATAGAATTCCTTGCTGCACTTACATTTATAGAGGGAAGTCATGCTCTTATTCTGAATTTGGAGGCCCCAAATCCAAGAGGAACAGGGAAACAAATAAAAGAGCCCTTGCAGTGATGTCACTCTTGGGCAACCAGACCAGCATCACAAAATGTTTCCTGTTCTTATGGGACACTTGCACGTTTGCTGGCGGGAAAGCTACTCAGTGAGTGCCTCTATTGTTCAATTTAAAGCTGAGGAGGTGGAAGGAAATTCACAGACCCAGGAAAACACAGAAAAGTAGTCTGAGCATACTATGCCCATGAAGAGCTTTAGTACTAAAAAGTGAAGCTTACCAGTATCTCTCTTGGCTAAGACTTCACCTAACTAAAACCAGGTTGGAATTGATCCAGATTGTGGTATACTAGGGCAACATAGACACCATACCTTTAAAGCACCGTGATACAACTTTAAATGGTCAAGCCTTCTCCCAAAGAATTCTGGGAGATGTAGTTTGCTCTAGGACCTGAGAGTTGTTAGGGGAGAGCTCTATTCCTTTCACAAAGCTAGAACTCACAGAGTTCCCTGTGGAGAAAGATTGACTGTTAAACCACTGCTTTAGAGATCTCTGAGGACTTTGGATAAAAGTCCAAATTGCCTACCTTACCTTATCAAGGAGTTCAAGGGAGTATGAGTGCTGCATAGGCACCAGAGAGTGTGCATGCACACAATTAAAGGTTAGTACAGTACTGGGCTCCTTTTCAGCCATTCTAATTAAACCCTTTGGACACAATCCAGCTAAAATTAAGCACCTTGATTTCAGTGGGAGAGTTAAGCAGAAGTGAAAACATCTCCCACTGAAATCTTTGGCTGATTAACTTTGGCTGGAATATGTCCATCACTCTTCAGAACTCATAATGAATATTTTCAGCCCACACTGTATGTGCACAGATATTGCACATAAGTGTTGCACATAGTCCTAGCTTTAGAAAATGAAAATGATACGTATCTGGTAAATGGGTATTTCTGACAGAAGCTAACCCTTTGGCCAGACAATACATGTCAGTCATGTAACTAAAATTACAAAATTTTGGAATATGCCTCTACATCTTCCACCCTTAAACCTTCCCCTTTGCCTCATTTCCTTTGATTTCTTTAGGCTTCTCCCTGTGTGGGTGGAGAGACATAGGGGAGATATTTGACATGTCTCGTTTCACCTTCAGACATCAAAAGCAAGGCTTAGGAAAAGAAAGCACAAGCTCTGGAACAGTAAGCCCAACACTTTCTAAATGGAATGAGCTGCAGGTTGTAGAATTTCCCTCTGCTGACAGTTTCAAGAAAAGACTGATCGGAGTGGAGGGACCAAACTGCAGCATCTGATTGTGCCATGCAGAGGGTCTCAAATCCAATCCCTAGCATCTTTAGGTAGGCCAGGGAGAAAATCCTGTCTGAAATCCTGCCAGTCAGTGTAGGCAATTCTGAGGTAGGTGAAGTAATTGTCCGACAGCTCCCTATCTTCCTCTGATTCTTGAGAAAGAAGCTATCCTGCTGTATTATTTCATAGAATGGCAAACCATCTCATTCTGGTGCAATGTTTTCATTTCAGATTTAGACCTAGAGTTCAACATTAAAGAGAGACTCAGTGCTAACTTTTATTTGTGCTAAAATATGAATTCTAACCAGCAGTGTGGCTCTTAGCAAAAAAAAGAAAAAAAGCTCTAAAGTCGCACATGCTGTGATTGCCATTAAAAGGTTATTCTGACAGGAAGTGGCAGACGGCTCGCCAATTCCCCTGTTGCCCTCGGTCCAATCTGATAGGTGAAACCACCTGCAGCAAGGTAACAGGCTTGAAGATGGAAGTGAAGCCATTTCTGTTTGCCTTCCCAAAGCAACCGAGAGGCAGCCTTTTTGAAATATTATCACGATGCCCTGTGTGATGGTAATTTAGACTCCTAGATGTGAACGGCTGACGTGCGCGGTTTCTACGTAAGTGGGTTCAGTTGAGCATACCTCATTGCCAACAATTTTCCCCCAGACTGATATTCGACACATGGTGAATTCAAATGAGTTTTATACACATTCTCTTGATTAATAGAAAATGGCAGAGTGTAGGAGACTGAAACAGTCCGTGCTTTGCTTGATTAATTAATAAGGGACTCTCTTTTCCCAGCTTCAACTCATTATGCTAATGAAGTGTCATCAATTAAGGCTTTCCCCTGATTATTGAATCTGTCAAGGAGTGTTCAGTTTAAAAACTGCATTCCTTTGCTATCTTACTCTTTGTGGAATTGCCACTACAGCTTTTTATAAAGCGCTTCTTCTATTAGCTGTTGTTTGTTCCACTTTCTCATCATTGTATCTTCTTCCTGACCTTGAGGCAGTTGAACGTGAAATGATATAACAAACTGATATGGCAACAAGCATATCGCTGCAAGTATGGGTCAAGATAGTGTATTAACAGAAAGATACATTGCATTCTCCATTCCCAGTTTGTTGATAACTATTAATAGCTTGGCCAAAGATAAACTTAAGGACAGCATGTAACTTTAAAAATAAATAAATGGTGCGCTGCTTCTGGAATCAATTATGTTAGATTAGGTCACGGTGAAAAAGATGTTTTAACTCTTTGGATACCGTTTGGTAAGATAGATAAGGGACCAAAATACAGCTGCCATTACGTCTAGAGTTAAGATGCTTTAGGCACAAAGGGTGCCTTTGTACTAGGAATAGGAACTTGCTTAAGTAGAAAAGAAAACTAACTAATGCAAGACATGAGGATTTATTCAGCTCTTCCCCCAAATAATTTGTGCATTGTTGTTGTTGTTGTGGTTTAGTCATTTAGTCGTGTCTGACTCTTCGTGACCCCATGGACCAGAGCACGCCAGGCACTCCTGTCTTCCACTCCTCCCGCATTTTGGTCAAACTCATGTTGGTAGCTTCGAGAACACTCTCCAACCATTTGCGCATTACTATTTATCATATCTTCATCCTACATTTCCTTCAATGAGCTTTTGCCATCATACAGGGGATCGTCTAATTTCATCCTCACAACAACCCTGAAAGGTGGAAAATGAGAAAGAGAGAGAGAGGGAGAGAGAGAGAGAGAGAGAGAGAGAGAGAGAGAGAGAGAGAAGGTTCTGATTACAGCCAGCAGTGGTACTGCAAGACCCAACACGGAACAAATGAAGTTATCTAGACTCTCTGAACAAATAAGGTCAAACAGCTTTTTCAAGCCTCATGCTTCCCAGTTCGAGCTAAGTTTCCCCATTCCTTCAAACAGAGAGGTGAGTGTCCCTTCTAGGTGGTTGGGCAGAGGCAACTGGATGAAAATGAGGTGGCGGAGCATAGAAATATTGTTGGTTCATCACGCTAGCATTTCTGAAGTGGAAAAGGCACAACTGAAGACCAGTCTATAAGAGAGCTGCCATACTGTGTTTTGGGGGGTCTATGGATGGCATTAAAGCTGTGTGTGGGAGAGATAATGAACACAATGTTGTCAAATAGGAAATTGCCATGCACCAGCTGAGACTATTTGTCAATCTTGTTCAGTGTTTCTCAACCTGCTGCCTTTCAGAATTTTGGACTACAACACCCATTGGCCCCTGCCAACATAACCAATGGTCAGGGATGATAGGTATTGTACTCTAAAACATCTGGAGGGCACCAGATTGGGGAAGACTGATTTAATCTATTATTGTCTACTCTGCCAATGGCTCTCCACGGTATCAGGGACAGATCTTCCACCTCACCTCCTATGAGATCCCTTTAACAAGCGATTCCAAGGATTGAACGTGGGACCTTCTGCATGCAAAGTGAGTGTTCCACCACTGAGCTGTGGTCCCACCCATAGGCTATGATAAAGTGTTCATGTGACTATCTTCTATGTTCCCCATGGAAGAAAAAACCAGAGTTGCCACTGAATTTTGGCTAAATCCACATTTGAGATGATTTGTGGGAGGGTCCTGCTCAGGCATATCTGTAGGAATTTCCAGAGAAGCTGTAACTCAGTGATAGAGCATCTGATTTGCATCTGATTTGCATTAGCAATATTACCTTATGATGTGGGTTCAAACTTTACCCTGTGGGTCACTGATAGCTAGAATTCTCCCTTTCCTCCCTGAAATCCCTTGTCCTGAGACAGAGATGGGCAACCTGTGGCCCTCCAGATGCGTCTGCAGTTCCTCCATCCTTGTCCCAAGGCAGCGACTTTGGAGGCCTAATTGTATAAGGCAGCTTCAAGAAGTTGAACCATGACTGTTTCCTCTAGAGAAGAGAAAAATAATATGCTGCTTGATGGCTAAGAGTCAGGCTACCTGTAAGCAATCTGCCTATTATTTTAGTTACCAAAGATGACACGCAATATTGTTTCCCCCCCCCTTCTAATACAGTGCACATATATTTCAGTTCACATGCTTGACTGACAGGAATATATAAGTCACCTTCAGCATCAAACAATGTGAGATAGTGAGGCTGCACAGGTTCTAGCTCTACTTTCATGCTTTGAACTTTTTTTTTTTTTACTTCAAAGTCTCCATTCTGTCACAAAGAAAGGCAAAAAGTATAAGACTAAGTCACAGTTGGAGGAGAAGTACAGAACTAGGTGGTTTTCATTCAACTAGCAGTCTTTTTAAATAAGATTAATACCAGCACAATATTTCTTTCATGGTGCCTTCTCCCTGTCCAGGAGTAGGTCACTGAAATTGCTTCTCTGGATAGTTAAAATACGATTCCTTCATATTGGAGGCTGAATCCCAGAGTACTATTAAGGGTGTGCAGTGAATGTGTTGTTTTTCCCAAGCAGATTCAGCTGTGTTTGGACCCTGAGCTGAACGGGACAGATCCAAAGTGCTTCAGAACAAAACAAGAAGTTTTCTGAGTTGGGGTCCAAACCAAATATTGTGTTTGTTGTAAGGTAAAGGTAAAGGGACCCCTGACCATTAGGTCCAGCCGTGACCGACTTTGGGGTTGTGGCGCTCATCTCGCTTTATTGGCCAAGGGAGCCGGCATGCAGCTTCCGGGTCATGTGGCCAGCATGGCTAAGCCGCTTCTGGTGAACCAGAGCAGCGCACGGAAACACCGTTTACCTTCCCGCCTGGAGTGGTACCTATTTATCTACTTGCACTTTGACATGCACTGGCAGGAGGTGTTTGGTGTAGCCTTGCTCTAAATGGTATCCTCATTGATGTGGGAGACCGCTCCCAGAATCCCTGGAACAGTGACCTGTGAAGTAGGACGGATGATTGGAGTTAGCATAAGGCAGTTTGCATTTTCCTATAGAATGAAACTGAAGGAATAACTAATTCCATGCTGCACTTACCTTCAGCCATCAGACAAGGATAAGATTGCTTGGAAAAATGATAAGAGCTGAGACTGTCATATCCAGATGGAAAGCGTAATGCTGGTGGTCAACAAAAGAGGTTTAAAGACTGTCTCAAGGCAAATCTTTAAAAAAAGTAGTATAAACACCAACAATTGGGAAACACTGGCCTACGAGCACTCCAATCGGAGAACAGCCTTTACCAAAGGTGTCATGGGCTTTGAAGACACTTGAACTCAGGACGCAAGGGAGAAAGGTGCTAAGAGGAAGGCACGCTTGGCAAATCCACACTATGATCAACTCCCGCCTGGAAACCTATGTCCCCACTGTAGAAGGACGCATGGATCCAGAACTGGCCTCCACAGTCACTTACAGACTCATTGTTAATACCGTGTTTTACCGTGTTTATGGAAGACAATCTTACTTGGCTGCAAGTGATCGCCAAAAGAAGATGATCCAGATTTAAACCAGTGATCCTTTCCCCTTCTTTCCTATGTCTGATAAATGCAAATTTTAAAATGGGAACTCTCTCTGGTATCCTTTGCATATTATAGCCACATTGTGGGAGTCACTTCCCCACAGCTTCATCCCACTGCAGCTGCAGTTAAAGCTGCAGCTATGTGACTGAGGGCCACTTTGTGGGTCTTCCGCTGTCAGTCAATGCAAAATGCAATCATTTGATCAGTTCTTTCCATATGAGAGTCAGGATTAGAGTGAACCAGATTTGTTTTCGGTTCACAATTGCTGATGTCACTAAGGGTATTTCTTCTTTTTTTAAAGGAGAGACATTGAGTATTATGAGTATAGCCTTTTTCCTATCCTATTTGTCACCATTGATTTCCTAGCCTACCCTTATTTTATGTTCCTATACCTAAATTAATCATAAGGTGATCTCACCCAATCAGGGATCCCATTATGAATCAGATGACATCATGGAGCCCCGCTGACATAATGTGTCACCAGAATTCAGCAAATGAAATGTATTGCCACCGTCCCCTACGCCCCATTTGCACATACAGATCCCTGTGTCTGCAAGGAGACTTTTAGGGGACAGGATCACATGTGCTTTATTAAAAAGTTATTAAGTTATAAAATGTGTCCTACTTAGTCCTCACAATCAACAAAAGAACAAACAGAAAGGACTTACAATTTTGCTAAAAAAGGAAACTCCTAACTTAAAAAAATGAATTGAGAACTCTAGTATGTATTAAGCAGACAATTGCTCTATTAGTCTTGATGCTACTTACCTGCTTAAAAACAACAAGAAGGCAGTGGATATTGCTTTGAGGCAACTACATCTAGCAATGGTGTAGTTCAGTTATTACTGCAGAATCAATAGAAATAAGGAATTAACTGTTTCTTTTGAGATATTTAATCAACCCATAGTCTACACTTGTGGCTCTCTCTTAAGTGGATGTATTTGTTTTGCCATCGATCATGTACATCTCACATGTACAGAATGTTCTACTATAACTCTGGGATTCTTCTGCACCTCACATTTCAAAGGTTGTGGATCCAGTGAGTATTGCAACGGAAGAGAGAAAACAACATTTGTTGGGACGCTATCAGCAGCCAGTAATCATTAAGGTATTCTGCTCACTAATTAGAATAAGAACCAAAACTTACACATAGGTCCTCTACCTTTGCTGTAATTTACAATGCCTTGTTTTGTCTTAATGTGATAAAAAGAGGAATAGACATATGCATCTACAGCAGCCTTCCTCAGCCTGGTGTCCTCAAGCCAGCATGGCTGCAGTAGCTGGGGCTAATGGGAATTGTAGTCCAAAACATCTGGAGGGCACTAAGTTGGGGAAGGCTTGTCAACAGCAGACAGTATTGCAAAGCTTACTGGTGCCACCAGTCCTTCTGACTCCAGTATGTTATCACTGCATATTCTTTACTTTCTGCAAGCAGCTGGGTATTCTACGTGGCTTTGTCTATTTTTCCCACCTATAACCAGTGTCCTTGTTTCTGTTCCATGTAGTACACCAAAGATTATGTCTTTCCCCCCATCCACCAATTAAATGAATGTTTTCAATTAGTCTATAATGTAAGGTATCACCAATTCTAGATTAGGTTTTAGGTCACAATCCATGTTCCACTGGAGTCAAATAACAATCCCTGTTGGCATACACCTTCTTCAAATATCTAAAGGAATATGGAGTATGGTTGTTTTCTCCTGCTTCAGTGGGTAAGACCTGAACCAATGGCTTCAAGTTACGAGAAGGGGTGAACTTTTCCTGGACTTGGACTTATTAATGCCCCTGAATTATATTTCATTTACTGCTGTAGATTGAGTCATGGACTCATGTATACCATTGCTTTTTTCTTCTGAAAGCAAGTGCCACTTTAAATTTGTATTTCAGCTGCTCTTTGTTTTCAAACCACAAGTTCTACTTCAAGGAGAAGCAAAACTCAAACTGGCCATTCTTTGCAATTGAACTACTTTTTTTATTATTTTGGTTATCGAATGTGTGCTCTAAGGGATGAGCAAAACCCAAATGTGGAAAAAGTAGCTACGCAGCCAGTGATTCAGCAGCAGTAAATTCCTAGACTTTCCCATTTAGTTTAAACTTTTTGTATCCAGCTATTTAATATATACATGAAGCTGTGAGGAATGGCCATTAGGAGTTTGGGTGCAAGGTGCCGTCAGTATGTGGAGCCGTTTCTCGACAACATCAGAATCAGGAGAGGCTGTGCAGGAGAGGTCAGTGCTTGGATGCAGTGGTGAGATGAATGAAGAAAAACAAGCTGAGCTTGAATCCTGGCAAGATGGCTGCACTGTGGGTTCCCATAGTTCACATGTCTGAGAAATTGGTGAATTCCCTACCCTGGATGGGATTGCACCCTTCCTGAAGGAGCAGGTTCTAAATCTGGGGGTGATTCCAGCCCTAGTTCTGTCACTGGAGACTCAGATAATCTCAGTGACTAGAATATGGTTACCAGATTTTTTTCAATGAATCCGGGGACACTCCCCCCCCCCCGAAGATGAATAGTAACAGGGGGTCAGTAGTGGCTATGGTGAGGCAAAAGACGCTGGGCCCAAGCACACATGCATATTGTACAAAGGTGCAAAGCCCTTCTTTCACACCCTGTGAAACATAAATGTGCAGTTTTTAAAAAACTGGGCAATGGCTGGCCAGCCACAACTCCTGAGCCTCCCCCGATCAGTCAAAACAAAGGAGGGAGGGGGCAGGAGATCTGTACCGCTGGATGTCCCCAATTCCCCTTCGGCAGTGGCGGCAGCAGTGGCAGTCAGCAGCCTGGAGCCAGCCTGATAACACAGTTGGCTCTGGCTGGCTCCAGGAGCTGCTCGCTGCCATGGAGCCCACCATTTTTCCTCACTGGAAGTCCCCAAATGATGTGCTGTGCACAAGACATATCATATGGGGACTTCTGGTGAGGAAAAAGGGCGGGCGCCACGGCAGCGAGCAGCTCCTGAAGCCAGCCAGAGCCAACTGTGCTTACAGGCTGGCTCCAGGCTGCTGAGGCTGCTGCTGCCACGTTTCTCGGGGACAGATTTGCAAATCTGGGGACTGTCTGGTAAGCCTAGACTAGAACCTCCTTTAACCAACCACAATTACGGTAGTAGGACAGCTATAACCACTCCCAGACCAGGAAATTAAGAACTGTATATCCGGCAGTGATTCAGGATAACATTTCATGTGTTTGATGAAATAGCATGTTGTCCATAAAAGCTTTTGCTGTAATTCCCTTGTTCGTCTTTAATGTGCTGCAAGACTGTCTCTGGTTGTATATAAACTATACATTTAAAGCACATGACCCTCCCAATGAATCCTGGGAACTGTAGTTTGCCCCTCACAGAGCTACAACTCCTAACACCTTTGACAACTATAGTTGTCATGAATCTTTTGGGGGTTGCACTTTAAATGTATATTTTAAATGTATGGTGTATGTATGCAGCCCTTGCCCCTCGCAGCAACAAGCTGAAATGGCTCTCGAAAATGGCAAAAATATGCAATTTGTCACTGAAATCAGCTTCCTTACAAGAGCATAAGAAAATAACACATGTAAAAGCATTTTTAAAAAACCTGATCCAGGGGTAGCACTAGAAAATTACACACCTGGTTTCCTAATAGCCCAGAAAAATTGGCCTGAGAGGTACATTGGTATGTAAGATGTGAAATGGTCCTAAATGACTAGGGACTAATATAACTGTGAATGGGGGCATGATATGAATGATTTTCCAA